CAATCTCGCTCTCAATCAGATGCTACGCTCTCAATCAGGCGAATATAATATATTCGCCTGATTGAGAGCGTAGCATCTTTATATTCGCCTGATTGAGAGCGTAGCATCTGATTGAGAGCGAGATTGCGCGATACGCTGTAGCCGGACTACCACTGAGAGGTGGAGCTTGCTGTGTAGCTTGAATTGAAGGGCTAGCCCGTAGCTTCAAGCCGCTACCCTGGTCATCCTGTGGGAGTCTCTCGTTGTGGAGCTACAGCGGGGAGCAGAAGCTACAGCAGAGCCCACCGCCCGACGCGATACCGCCCTGAAACAGTTTGAGCAGAAATAGCCAATCTGGGCAAATCTAGCAACTTGTCTAGCTCCTCGCTGCAGCATCCGATGACGATGACACGCATATGCTCGCGAAGCTGCTGATGAGACCTTCAATTTGCACCGCTTCTTGGAATAGCCCGTCCCCTACTTGCCAAGAAATGGCAAGAGGCGTCTGGACCCGAAATTTCATTTTTTTTGGCTCTCGCTCTCAATCAGATACTTCGCTCTCAATCAGGCGAATATGTTGTTATATGTTGTTTTAATGTACATGGTGGACATGCTGCACATCTTAGCAATGATACAACCTGGGTTCGAATCCCTCGTGGACCGTTTGAGACGCCATTTTTCCCGGGCAAAGAGTCTGGGATACGTCTCAAAGACGGTATGTATTCCAGTCGTCCAAGTAAAGACACATACTTCCGCCTGTAGTCGACGAACCGCATGACGCAGCGCTGATTACAGGGATTACAACCCTGGGGTTCATTCCGAGGTGGACAGCTGTATCAAATTCAAGGACCCCAGTTGTAGTTCATTTACGATGTCCAGCATATATCCACTATGCTACAGTAGCAAAGACTAGTGGATATGCTGTACATCTTAACAGTGTCGAACGAACATAAATGCATACGTCACCTCCTAAGGTCTCCGGCGGGTCATCTTCCGCGGACCTTGTCTGTATCAACGCAGATATCGAACATCGGATTTTTCGACATCAACGACAAGCATGTGGAAAAAGCGGTTTCACAAGACACGTTGTTCATCCACGGCAGTACGCTCAGTGGTGGGAGTGTCGTGTCTTCTCCCGTGAAGCATGCGCCTAGACCACGTCACAGCAGCAGCAACTGCACTGATGCTTGTGGTTCAAGACCCTCCTCTGGGAGTTCGGCAGGTATCTCTACAATCTGCGACGAAAGCTGCTCTGTGGAATGGTCATCGACAGGACCACGCTTCGGGGGTCACAATTGTGGCGCAGGCAATGCTTCACAGTATGGCAGCAACTGTCGGCTTTGCTACACCAACAGTGAGGAGGCCTCGGCCGAAGAAAGCATACTTGCGTTGTCCTCCGTAGATACCTCGGCGTCGGATGCCCATGTCGTCATGTGCGGCACGAGGAACCCACCCTCCGGTCCAAGCTGCTCTGCTGGGTGCGAGGGCACCATCGACACGGTGAGCTGCGTCGTCGATCGTGCTACCCATGGAGGACGGGTGCATTTGTTGTTTGGAATGTCTTCTTTGGCAATCTATGTTGACTGTTCTAGCACAACCTCACATAACGTTTTAACTTTCAAATGACTCCCATGAGGTATTGGTTGTTTCGGCACTTTCGTGGGGGACGTGCGTTCATTCGAGAAACTCTACCGTAGGTGTGCACGTAGTCTATAATTTCACACCTTGCTTTCACATGTCATAATATGTTCTTTGCCGTTTCGATCCTGGTAGACACTACACATTCTTGTGCGTAAATGATGTCGGGCGCCGCAGTCCTCCGGCTTACTGACGCGTACTCCGTGGCCCTCTGTCGTGCTCACACTCGCAATGACCCACGGCGAGGCACGTGCGTAGGTAGCAAGCTCATTCAATAAGCTATTGTCAGTTATTGTTCAGTCTTGGGACAAATTACGTAGCTTGTCATTTTGTGTCATGGCAATTAGCAGCGTCGCTAAAACAAGTTCGCGTGCGACCAACAGCATCCGGATCCCGTCTGTCGTCGTTCTTTCAACGAGAAGCCTAGCCCGGTCTTCGCTTGACCACATGCTTAGCAGCGCGAGTGACTGCTGCAGTGTCAGGCAAACATTTCTGAAGAGCGTCGGTGGTGGTACTGTAGTCGAGACAACACGAATGGTATATCACGTTGCTCTTAAGGAACAACAAGAACGCACGGAATGGATCGGGATTAGTGCAATCCCCCTGCCGCGACTTTCGCACGATGACCCGTTGCCATATTCGTGTCACATGCGCCTCTACAGGTGTGTGACTATCGTTGTGGAAGTGGGCTCTACGGGGATCTGCACTGCAACTGGAGAGGTCTTGGAAAGACGTGTCGTCTGTGCTTCCACGATGTTTCAGCGGCTCATCTTGCTGATGAAGCCGTAAAAGCTCAGGGTGGACGGGTAATCCTTTGCAACACCCTCGAGCCCCCACTTTCTATCGGTTCTGAAGCGGAGGCAAGGAGAAACAAATCTGGGGGTAGCAGACTTGCTCCCTCCATCCCGGAGAATCACGATCCCATCGTTTCGCAGACAGACGGTATTATTGACGATCCTGTCCCCACGATTCTCTCCAGCAGCATGCGTGGTCAAATGTGCGCGTTCATGCGTGGCTACTCCGAATTCTTGCCTGAGACGACAAGTTCAGTGCGCAGCGTTCTGGAGTTCATGCCGGCCATGCGCGTGGCGGTTGTTACCCATCCAAGCGACTTCCATGTGTTCAACAGGTCAGAGTCCGCCGCCCCTTTCCATCAGGTGTAACCCTAGCCCCAAGCCAAATCGGAGCGCCGAACAAGCTTCGTAATGAATCAATCGGTTGTCAGTTCATTCCCCTCTTTGGTCCGGGCTTTCATGCACATTATACCCCCGGGGATCAAGAGACCATTTTCAATGGAAACCAGCGTCGATGATTCTGAAACCCTTTTCGAGCCGAAGGAGTTCAATGCATTCACCGCAACGCTACTGCTGCAGAATCTCCAACTGCGTTGATTAAAAAAAGCTGTTGAGCTCGATTGGAGGAATGTTGGCCTTCCCAATGTTTGCTTGTCCCAGCGTATGGTGTCAAAACGGTCTATCACACGATTACTCCCTACATAAATCAGTGCCGTCACGACCTGAATATCTTTGGTCATGTAGTGTAACCGCGAATGTTTTGTGTCCCTTGGCCAATGCTCACGTGTTGCACCGTTGTCTCTTCGTCACGATATACACCTGTATTGGATCCACAGGAGCTTCGGCCATCTGCAAGACGTGTCGATCGGAAATTCGTCGAACGTAGAGTATGGCTCACTAGTAGCAGACCAGCTTTGTGGCAACGGAACAAGGTTGATCTACTACATGGAAGTCGGGCAGGTCCTCAGCCGCACCTTTACACTCAAGGACACACATACGGCTCGGCGTGAGTTGATTGTGACCGTCGCCGACGCACGCGACGTCCACCCAGAGAATGTACGACGCGCGTTGGGCAGCGCCGTTCTTTTAGGGTTCCCTGCGCCGTCGTTTACCTTCGGAAGTGATCTGATTCTTCCCGCTGAAACAAACGGACAACTTCGGGCGTTGTTGGGCACGAAAACACGCCAAGGGAGGAGAACAGAATTTGGTCTCCACGACGCTGAACTTGAGGTGGAGGACCTTTACACCTACCTAGCGTCGGTGGCCGACCTCCACAGAGAATCAACGTCGATTTACGTCCCGGAGGTACGGCTGGCATGGACGACGTGATGAAAAGCATTCTGTAGACGCGATGGTGTTGATGTCAATATTTGGTGCAGCAATAGTGTGAGTCAATGGTTCGAATGCCACTTGGAATGTGTGTACTGCAAGTCATACCAACACAATGGTCAACGCCGGTATCTCTCTCCCTGAATATCCGCAAAGCGAGCTATAGAAGAAACCCTGGCAAGCAACCACGCGAACTACGAATGGAACCTGTTTGCAACGTGCAGGCTGTGCCTTGCTCGTTGTCCTCCGTGCACCTGTCGATAAATCACCGTATTTTCTACGATGCAGCCCTTCATGCCTTGCAGCGCTTTCCAACTAGAGTTGGCCGTGGGTGTGGTTCACATATTACCGATGTATCGGTTGTGTCGGCATTTTTCCACCTCCATCGTGTTCGTTCGTCATGGTACGGTCGCAATCAAACCTCTGGGGTACACGGTAGAGTGATGATAAGCCATGAGAGTTGGTAACTTCAATTCCGCTGCGTTCGGTGGTCCACCTCGCGACAGGTGCTCGCGGCCTCGGCGTACCTCCAAATGCCAGAGGGGGTGCATTTTGTCAATATTCGTGCGTGGAGTCTGGAAAACCTTTTTTCGGCGGTTTCCATCTGGGACATCCCCTTGGTGAAGCCTCGTTTTGGCTGCTCCTTCGATACGGCTCTAAGCCTGATGGGGTATCGCATGGGCGACGTCATCGCCAATGCGCTCGAGGCATTCAAGCTGGGGGCAACGTGTGAGCTCGGGTTTAAATCGGCTGCGGCCTTAGACTTGAAGTCAAGGTTGACTGGGAATCCGGGGGGGGAGGCGGACAGTCGTAAGCACGTGGTTGTGGTCAGAGGCTTTGAAGTCGACACGTTTAACAGAGACATTACGCACTAAACGCCGGTCCGTCTGACGGATGAGGATGAAGTCGAGGCGGTACTTCTCTTTCCCCTTGTTGGAGCTCTGGAATGTGTGCTGCACTCCACCTTTCGGTGTCCGGAAGTAGGTGTTGGTCAGGGAGAGTTGGTTGTCTGATGCCAGTCCAAGGAGTCGTTCCCCGTTGTTGTTCATTATATCGCGTCCGTACGCGCCCATAATCTTGGCATCGTAGCACCCGTCTCGCCTCCTACCAGTTCGTGCGTTGGCGTCCATTAGCACCACGATATGGTCACGGCTGTGAACCTCCCGTATCGGCTCGTCGAGAGCAGTCCAGAAGGAGTCCTTGGCGTTAACATCACCGCCCGCGGTGGTGCGGACAGTTTCCGTGGGGGCGTACCCCGCCACGAAAGCTACTCCGCAAGTGCGGCCAATTTGTAGACGAACCTTCATCAGCTCGGGCTAATGCACCCCACCGTCCTACCTTCCTCGCCCACACTCTCCCACATGGCCTCTTTGATCGCTATGCCCACACCGTGTACGCCCCTCTTGTCCTGGGTGCCAGCACGGGCGCCACTCCAGATGATCACGTACCCATCGTGTGCAATTTAACCTTGCCCCTCTCGTCGGGTCTCCTGAAGTCCTATCACATCACAGCCGGTCGCGGAACAAATCTGCATGACCGTCATCACGTTGTGACCGATGGGGTTCCTACCGCTGTAGGCGAGCGTGCGTACGTTGAACGTGCCGAACGATAGGCCGCCCTCCCGTGCCTTCTTCTTCGCAGCCGCCTTGACGGCCGCTGCGGTCTCGTGTCTCTCTTGGTCCGCCTCGCGTCGCGGGTGTGCTTTCTTCTCAGACGTACTATCGTATGGTTCTTCTCATAACCGCCCATCATTTTCGCATCATATGCAACAACCACATCGACGCGGTCGCCAACGGCACAGTTGTCAACTAACAACAACAACCCCCTGGTGGCAACGGCCTTCTACCGTCACGCACTCCCGAGGTCGCCCTGGACGTTTGGCCCGGCATCACGCGTGGAAACCACGTGGGTGCCTGCCGACCACAGTTTTGTTTTTTTCGGAATTGCGATATTCGGACATCGGACGTTGACTGCTGCACCGTTGAGCAACCGAGCACACTGTATATACTGTACCATAAACGGACACAACATCTTGCGAGTCGACCACTGTTGTTGACCGAATCCCCATGTATATACTACGAGCTACCCGTTAGGTGCGAGGGCCCCACCGACCACTCACCCCCATAAACTTAGCGGCCATCTCCGACGATCTCCGACGGACATACGTGCATACCTCATGCCCACACACACCCGACAAACACAACAGAAATAATAGAAAGAAAAAAAGCCTTCAATGAATATTTTTTTCGCCATGCCCCCCATAAAACCATCAACGACTCGGAATGTTCTCTGCCCGGATTTGTGTACTGCTCAGAGCACCACGCGGACAGCCGCGATCCCTATTGCGCGGTGCCCCCATCACATCCTACGGGGCGAATGTCTTGGTGCGTGCGTGTACGAATGCATGCGTGTAGGACGAGATAGGTAAGCTCTCGGTCGGTATTTCTCTTCCTCGGGCCCGCTCAAGCTGCCACTTCCTCAAAAACGAAATGCTCCGCAACTCACCCGTCAGTGCCGTTTGTGTTGTATTAACCAACTTAATTGTAACTACGGCTGTGGTGGTACGCGGCATCTCTGTGCGACCGAATTTACTGGACATGGGTTGCATTTCCCTCCCCCAGTGAAGGGACCGTGGACCCTTTGTAGTGTAAGTCAGCCAGAGACACGGAATCGGCGGGAGAACGGGTGAGTATAATAGACACAGCAACGTGCTCTTTGTGGGTTCGTACTGCTTTATTTATTTATCTGCACTAATACCATATTTGGCCGAACGTTTCCAACATCGCCTCCCCTTGGAGGGACCGGCATTTTCGTAGGAATGGCTCCATAACCCCTAAAAACATACTGTAATCTAATAACAAAATAAGAGCAAGCAACGTAGACAAAACAGAATGAGCTGGAGGAAGCAAACGAGCGAGAGTCGGGGCAGTACTACGTGGGCATGTTTTTGTTTTGGATATTTTTAATATTTTCCTGGTTTTGGCACAGGGTATGTGTAAATATTTACAACAAGAATGACAAAACATAACCACGAGCTACACGGAGACCATCACCCCTCCTCTTAATGCTGTACGGAAAATACCACCCCTCCTCATAACCCTGTATGGAGAATACCACATATGCATCACCACGAGCTACATGGAGAAAAACATCCCACACAACTCCGACCTACACGGAACACACTACGCTCTCCCGAGCAACACTGGAAAAACTATAATTACATAAACTAACCCGTGATCGCGTCAAGCCCCACCGTGCCGCCACAAAGTCTCACGAACAGCATTACCCTGTGGGGGCATACAGGGGCAAATGGAATCGGGTTCCACAGGCTATCATAAACCAATCCGGTACACACATTTTTTTTTTTCCTCCCATCATTGGACCCCGTTCGCTGCCCCTCTGGCCCCCTCCCTCCACTTCTTCTAGCTAGACGACCCAACCGGAGCCACATGGGAGGAGGGGGGTTGGACCCCCTCCGGCGGTTCCTGCGTGAGATATTTTTATCGCGAAAAGGGTACAGCAATCCCTTCCCTCGCGACTCATGAAGTCGACGAAGGTTATTAACAACGAGTTTTCTTTGCAGCGCTTCGCTTCCAACGGAGACCAGGATTTAATAGCTGAGAAAAAAACTCACTCTGCCGGGACTCGAAACCACGACCTGGCCCTTAGCAGACGGCGAGGTTACCTACTAGACCACCGGGGCGACCGGTGCATCATATACCGTGACGACAGATTCCAATCACGCAGGCGACACCTTCCCACCCGCACATGATCAACCCCCCGTACCATCTAACTACAAGTGGGACTATCAGGTAATGGACGTGGATCCAAATACGCGTGTGTAGTAGAGTACCGATGGGGGAGGCTTTAAAGAGGGTATGTGGGCAGACTAGTGCATGCATTGGTTTGGGTGATGATTTTCTGCCTTTCTCCTCCTCTCTCGGTTTCACCATCAGCCTGGAATCATCGGTGTCTCACACCAACCATGTGGACACAACAAAAACACCCAAAACCCACGGTGAGTACAGGAACCGGGAGTAAGAATGGGTGAGTACATATGCATGTGAGGTGAGTAAGCGTGGTGCGTGGTTGAGAGATGGAAACTCGGGGGAAAAAAAAACTATTTGTTTCCTTTTCCGTGACCCGCAAAACGTCTTTGGATTGACTGTCATTTACCTATACAGTGCCGTACACGCTCACCACCACAACAACAACACATTTTCTGAAGCACATCGCTTCACCTAGATATGGAACTGTTTTATCGAGCTGTGGGCGCCTTCATGACTGACCGAACCTGCGCCACATCACTTCTGTTGGGCTTCTGGAATGCCTGCGCGTCAGAGACCATGAGTTGTTCATGTCTTAACGCGAAATGGACGTGAAACAAATACCGCGCGTCGGCGTGGTGTGCACCGCATGATGATTACTTCATTTTTTTCCCCTTCGCTCGGTTCTTACGGGCTACCTGTACTTATGCGGGGTGCACTCCCCTGCTCACCGTGCAACCGTGCGGAAATACAGACCACCCGAGACCACCAATCGATTCTCGTCACGATGAGCACGATTGGTGAGCATGTCACCCCGTCGACTACCAAACCCACAAATTAACCTTGAAATGAAGATGAATCCGAGCTCCATTAATCATTACATCAACCAATTTTTTTTGCTGAGTATCTGTCTTCGGACACGACAACATTCTGACGACACCACCATTGTTGGGCTGCCTCCAACCTCGTGGTTTGTTCCGGTTATTCTGGCCATATCTATCCCACCTTGACCTGATCACAAAAAAAAAATCTGGTGGTGTTATGCTCACGAACGATCGATGTCCTCCAGCCCCCTACCACCACAGGGATCTGTCCCTACATGCACCCCTTTCAAACACGACACAAAAAAAGGACAGCCGTGCCCAACTTCAAAAAACAGGAACCCGTTTCGGCACCGGAGGGCAAAGCATGGAGCATTAAAATAAAATATTTGCGCGACCTCGCGAACAACAGGAAGACACTTAATACTTGTGTTTGGGTGTTGACGCTTGCTTGACGTTGATGAGCATGTGGAATAATGTAAGAAATATCTTCGATTTTCCACCCCCGGTTGATCTTTTCTCCGCTCAACAGAGCAGCACCTACTTCACGGAAGGCAACATGCCTTGTCTGCACCGGAACTCGGAGCGGCACCTGACAGTGCATACAACAAACGCTGACGGGCCGGGAAATTGTTCTTCCCAGTCCACCATGCAGGGCGCTACACTGATTGGGTCTGAGGAGCGGGTATTGACCTAACGGTCACCCTCCCTGCCGCTGTTTATTGCCACACCACGTCGCCGCCGCATGTGGTTTACTATTTCTTCTCGTACCATACCTAAAGACGGTGAAGCCCATTTCTCTGTCGCGTGGTCACCGCGTAGGCGACACGCACAAGCAACAGGGTTTTCGCCTGATTGAGAGCCGAGTATACGATTGAGAGCGGGAGCCAAAAAAATTGAAATTTCGGGTCCAGACGCCTCTTGCCATTTCTTGGGAAGTAGGGGGCGGGCTCTCCCAAGAAGCGGCGCAAATTGAAGGTCTCATCAGCAGCGTCACGAGCATATGCGTGCCATCGCGATCGGATGCTGCAGCTAGGAGCTAGACAAGTTGCTAGATTTGCCCAGATTGGCTATTCCTGCCTCAAACTGTTTCAGGGCGATTTGATCGCGGGCGGTGAGCTCTGCTGTAGATTCTGCTCCCCGCTGTAGCTCCACAACGAGAGACGCCCACAGGATGACCAGGGTATCGGCTTGTAGCTACGGGCTAGGCCTTCAATTCAAGCCACGCAGCAAGCTCCACCTCTCAGCGGTAGTCCAGCTACAGCGCATCGCGCAATCTCGCTCTCA